CTCCGCTGTGATATTGCTGGAATATTGCTACACGCGGCGTAAAACCATACTCACCCAAGTCACGAGTCAACGACGGCGTCATGTTTTTTTTTATGTAAGTTTCATTGATGGACATATCGTAACTCTTGGAGCTGCCATGAGCAACCCTGCTCAGTGTGATGATCATGGCCCTTCCTACTTTATTCGTGTCCGGGTCCCTTCACTTCTATCTAATGTTGTTCTTGCTGTAGTCACTGGACCATAGATGATTGCATTACAAATATACACATTTGTTCTTCTGTGTTTCACAACCTGAACAAAATAAGTTGATCCGCTTTATCACACGGAGAGTGTCTGCTACTGGCTCTCCACGGAACACTGTCTTGTTGGAGATATGAGAGCCGCAGAACACTAAATCTGTTAATCTTCATTAATCATGCCACCGAACACCACTGGCCATGAAAGCTTATTCAGAGTTGCCCGTCGATCACCAGCTAAATAATTATCCTTCCTCTGAGATAAGGCAACTTCACATTTCCCATTAAGTGACTTACTTGGGCGCCCATCATTACAGTTGAATTTCCGGAGGAATTCATTCTTCTTGTGGAAGTTGCAATCTGGCTGGACATGGCAATGACAAAACACTGTTTCTGATACCCAGTGGTATTACCCTATCAGTCCTGGAAGTATATATTCTCTCAATGACGGACCTCGGGATGTCTTTCAGTGAGGCATCATCTGCTTTCCAGGAGAGGGTGGATAATTTAAGAGACAATCGGTTAAACAAAAGCTTTCACAAAGGCGCTCCAGTCATTTCACAGGCATTATCTGGACAACAATCTAGGGGCAGTCTGCAAGTAATTTATTGAGTCAATCTGACCTTATTTTACCCTGAGAGTCGATTGAAAAGCCCTATGAAAGGCTCGATTTGATATTTTTAGTTGTTATCGAACATGACAGATATCATGAACGATTTCATGAGGTGGAGTAATACGTGACTATTTAGGCCTGTTCATAAGCCACTTCTCCGTTCTCCATGAATGGTATGGGACAGACCCTGTGGGATTTCCGTAGCACAATAGATCCCCGCAACCTATACTGGTCGTAAGAGACTACTAAAGAGATTGGTGACTTGGTTGTTTGTCATCGTACACCGATGGCGTGTATCGTTGCTCACAATATCGATTGTCTGATCCACACTTGATTATTTACAGGCCGAGCTTGAATATTGCTTAGCGTGGTGTTTAACAAAAACAATCTGCTGATGGAAAGCAGTCACTTAAGACTTTTCACGTCACGTAAGTTCACTCCACATCATTCTGGATGTCTATATTCATTCACATCTATATACGGACAGGGTCCGTCTTCGTTACATAAAGGGGTGACGTTTTGGTACCTTTGTACAGGGTTGAATGGTAGATTGACGTTTACACAACAGATAAGGTTGAAGCATGAAGCCTAACAATGTAAGTCTTAGAATAAACTACCACACTCCTCAGCACCCTGCCCACCTCCTAGCCCCCTAATGCATAAATCCTAAAGGTTTGACTGATAGTCAGATGACATCAGTTCCCTGATGTTTGTCAACATCACATGCCGCTGGTTCTAGCTTGTGGTACATGTGTAATCTTATTCTTGCACTACCCTCACGCTGACGTCACCTTGACAGCGTTTTCTGCAAGTTATTTTTTTTAGCCCAAGTTGTTTTTTCCCAGTATCAGAACCATCCCAAATGATGTGAATAACGATAAAAAATCGAACATAATACATTCGACCTTCTGTAGTATTTAACTGAATAAAATGGACATATTTTCAATTTATTTTATTTTACCTCAACATAGTCTCTAAATAATAATTGCTTGATCGTCTTCAACACCATTGTATCTGTCATTGATGTGACATTATTAAACAAATTTAAGTTCTAATGTACCTCTAGAAAACCAATTTGCCGACTACAACAGCATCCGCTTTCTCCATAACGTATATTTTGTGAGACTGAATGCATATCAGATGACTTGGAACTGTCGACAGACTGGCACAAGAAGTATTAAGCAGGATAGAGTTTCAATTTGTATCATATCTACTTTTCTATTTCAAAGTGAAGTATAATAAGTAGATCATTAAGCGTACAAACTACCAGAGACGATGCTGTTGTATCTATGTTTAGCCTGGCATTACAAAACAAATGAAAGCTCTTATATATCTCCACAACATTGCCAACTGCAACAGCATCCACTTTCTCCATGACTAATATTCTGTGAGACTGAATGGACATCACATGACTGAGAACTGTCGAGAGACTGACACAGTACATTCCCGATATTCGATTGCTTTCCAAGCATACTTAACCTTTACGTCTTTGATCGTCTGGTGTCTGTTCCATGCCACTCATGTTGAGAGTTGGGTCTCAGAAATAACGTGGATGGAATATCACATTCCTCATTAGGAAATAGTGATTCTGAGAACAGAATTCAAACCTTCATTATTGTTAATGGCTTTTGTCGAAAGTACCCTTGTCAAGATATACTTGTCATTAAATACATCTACACAAAAAACAAACATTATATTATCATACTCTTGAATATGCATGAACTATTTCCAAGAATTTTCAGAACGGCAGATAGATAAATGAAATAATTAGAATCTACAGAGCGATTAACATTTTGATATCCTCAAATGTAGTTTGATGTGTATAGTTTTTTGCCTTCCACAAACATTAAGATCTGTATGTCTATAGAGCAGCCTACCCAAAGCAGCTCTATGGAGACTTTGCAAATGTGTAAGTACATATATCTTAACTTAACATAACTGTACCTAAGAATGCACAAGCATGGCTTGCTCTTTGGTTGACAATTCTTGGACACAGACTCTTATGTCTTATAGTGTGTATACCCATATAAACCATTGTTTCTTGAACAGTGAAAACTGTTCCGACACTGTAAGGGGCATTTGAAAAGTAGCTTTATGTCACATTAATTTATCATTAAGCACATATGGGTTGGGGGTGGCGAGTAGGCCTAATGGATGAAGCGTTTGCTCGACAAGCCAAACATTCGGTTTCAATTACAACAATCCTTTTCTTTTCTTATGTTTTTTTCTGTATCCTGTGATTGTGCTGGAATATTTAGGTTATGCCCGCATTCCACTAAGCGGTGCTCTGTGGTGCTCTTACAAAGTGCGATAGATCGCCATTTAGAGCGCTAAGATCTCCAAAATCGTTGAAGGATCGCTATCTGATCGTTAACTAATCTCTATGATCATCAAGGTCGCCGCCAGCTGGCGACTCCCCTGCACAAAGATCCGTGGCGCTCCGCCCAGAATGCCATTACGATCTCCAAGGTCGTAATCGTATCATCTTAGAGCGCCGCCGATAGCCACGAAACCTGGTCTTCTGATCAAACGTGCTCCTCGGTGCTCTGTGGCGATCTGATCGCGCTCGGATTGTGCTTCACAGATTTGTAAACAATTTAGGTTGCCACCCCGCGGGGCTCCGATGGAGCTCCAGGGAGATCCGTTCGCCACTTGTTTACGATCTGAAGATGCTCCGATTGCGCTCCTGGAGGCCTATAAAAAAGTGCCACTACCTTTGGCGATCATCATGTCGCTGTTGGAGACTGATGAGTGATTGTCATCCTCTGCATTTGAAGGTAGTATCTTGAATTGGTGTATCAAGCTTCATGATGCCACCCAAGAGCATTAATTAAAGAGGTGCCAAGGAGAAAACCACTAGATGTGGTGGCCGGATGACCGTAGCAGTGGCCAGAGAACCCAGACCCGGCAGTCAAGACGAGACATCCCAGCATGGCAAGAAGAGACAGCCCCGCTTGGTGCACAGGAAGAGTCTCATGATGAGGAGAGTCCACCCCCAGCCAACAAGAACGTGTCAGGGTCAACCTAACAGCAGGGCAGGAGCCGGAGCTGCCAGAATTTACTCAGGAAATCCCGGTGCTGTATGATAAGGACAAGGAAGGAAGGAAGGAAGGACACCGGAAGAAAGGATGTTATGTGGCGACAGCAAGCTGAGAAGATAGCGGTCCCCGTAGAAGCCATCAAGCGCAGGTACCATGACCTCAAGACCTACCTTAACCTTCTTCGCCAGGAGAAAAGTGGTCAAGCTGCCCAGGTCCCAGCACATAGTTCAGCAAGTCCAAACAAAGGCGGCCCCTTGTCGCCGTTCGAGACAGGACCAAGACCCAGCCTTCAGCCCCAATCCTTGAGGAGGCGGAAGGTGATGATAGTGGTGAAGAAGGTGCTTCAAGTTAGCCGTCCCAGTCCCAGGCTACCCCAACCCAGGACACGCTCCAAATACCAAGGAGTGGACCAAGGAGGACCCGTCCTGCAGACCCTAACCAGACCCTGGCGGCCTCGCTGCAGAGCCAGGAGCAGATCATGAGTATCTCCCAAAAGCTGCTTGAACAACTGGGTCCCCGCCAGAGGAACGTCGAGAGGAGCAGTTTTTGTGACTGGGTCAGTAGTGTCTTCCAAGAGATGGAGTCTGACAACTAGAGTGCAGCCCAGAGGGAGATAACCAGCGTGCTCTTCCGCTACATGGTCCCAGTTGCAGCTCCTAAAGTTCAGCAGCCACAGCAGGGACAGGCTGAAGCTAGCCAGAAGTCACAGACTGAGTGAAGATTACAGTGATCGATGCTTTGGAGTATTGTGTTCAAGTTGTGTGTACCCACTGATAGTTACATTTGGGAGTAGTCTAGTAGTGTCTACTTTGTATTTGAATATTTCTTTTAATAAATATAAAAACAATTTTTGTTCCTTTTAGTACTTAATAAATAGAACTGAAATGTACTGGTAGCCAAATAAAACTTTCTCAAATTGTAGTAGAACTTTCAAGAAGAATACTTTTGTCTGAAGTGTTTTTTTTGTTAAACTTCTAATACAATTTATTATTGTCTCTTAATGTTAGCAATGTATTAATGTCTCACATATTTCAAAGTCTCACTCTCGATATCACACAGTCAATTATTGTACTACTTTAAATGCTGCTCAGGTTCCACCAGCCTATCCTGCTATGGTACCGAGCCAGCTTCAATGTTGAAGTACAGTCTAAAGTTCTCTCGCATCTGTTTGGCCTCCATAGTGTCCCTGATGGGTCCCACTCTCTGGTACACCTCTTGCATGTTGGCTTGCTGCCTCAACTCACCAGGTATCAGGTTTTGCTGCACATCCTCTCTGCCCAGGTTTTGCAGGCAGATGCCAGCTTTGAGGATGTCTCGGACCAAATCAGGACCCTGCTGCATCGTGGTCAGTAAACACTGCCGTCCGCTGGCCAAGATGCCGAATGCGTTCTCAACCACCCGCCTGCCTCTGGAAATTCTGTAGTTGGCAATCTGCTTGGACCTCGTCATACCTATGTGGGAGGATGGCTTCATTAGGTACGTCCTGAGGGCGAAGGCGTCATCAGCAAGAATGAAATATGGGACCTCCACAGGCTCCACAGTCTGCCCACATGAATTTGTAATCGGCATCGACGACTGCCAAGAGAACGATGGAGAAGAACCCTTCCTGTACAGTGAACCGGAATTCGGCGGTTTCTCATGTCAATATACTTACCATCTATGGTACTGACAGCATGGGGTATGTTCCATCTAGTCTTGAAGAATCTGAAGTCGTACTGAAGGTTGGCATACTTGTCACAAGAAGCAAGGTATCTTAGGGTTACAGCAAGCTTCAGACCTATTTCCCGGGCCTTCCTCGTATTGATGTCATCATTATGATTTTGAGGGAGATTCTCTGCAACAGTTCATCAAACATGGTGGGCTCCATCTTCATGAAGTTGCAGGATGAACTGGTGTCCTCTGCACTAAGTTCCTCCATGAGTCTGTCTTAATGACCGTTTTGAAGCCTCTTGTCGGCAGCCAACCAGGGTCTACCCAAAAGGTCTTCCTTCTCCTCCTTCTTCTCTGAGGTTTTTGGGCCAGAATACCAAGCCGTTGGTTCACGATAGCATGGTTCATGAAATTAAAAAAGCGCTTGAAAAATGGCAGTGTCTCTGGGGCTCATGTCTAGGACCTAACCCTCTGCTACTAAGCGTAGAACTGATGTGCGCCTCAGAATGCTACAAGTTTAAGCACAAAGAGCTAGGTCACCTCTACGACCTGCACTTTGCTGAGTATGTTGTAACTTCAGTGAGCTGTAACATGATGTATAGAAAAGGGCTTACAAATCTTCTGCGACGAATTTTCGTGTGCCCGATGCAAACAGACACAAACCCAGTTCTAAAAGTAATACCACTATTTTCTATTATATTTCAAGTGATACTTATCTTAACGAGAGCCATGCGTAAAGAGTATTACTCAGCAACTTGTTCATGACACTGTTTACGCGCATAAGTACAATAAGCTTCAAGTCAGTTTGTGGAAACATTCCTTTATATTGAATTACTTCCTGCACCTACACACAACATCAGTAACTTTAAAGCTTACAACGCATAGGCAATCTTTCAGTAATACCGCCATGGGAATAAACAAATGATTAAATCATGCCAGCAATATATACCATCATATTGAAAATTATGAGGGCCACCTCGAGCAAGCCAAATCATTTCATTATTGAAGTAAATATATTAACATTACTGGGAACCCATGTGCTCATGTGTATGAATAGCACATAATTGCTCGTATACTGAATCGTATACAAATGTCACAACGTAATCACCAACTACAACTACTCTTGATGCAAGTGTTGGATTCGAGAGTCCCTATACTGGGGCTGTTGATAATTCTAAATCCTTCTTGAAATCTGAAGCCGAATACTTCAGTCGTCACTAAAAGCGGTGACGATGTTTAGACCATGTGTAAGAAGTAAATCTTAATATTGGCACTTTCATCCCCAATTTTCGCCAGCGGAAACGAGACATAACCCTTCGTCGCCACCGCGGATGTTGGCCTGTCGACTAACAGAAAAGCAGATATCGTTAAGTGACGCCAGAACATTTCCTAGATGGTTTCTTTTGTGCTCACGAGACGCTGTCAGAGGCGGCTATTAGATTATTCTGAAGTAGAAACCTCGACTCTAAACCCTGCGATGGCATTAAACTTTCTGTCAGTTATCAATCTTTTTACTTACTGGGCGGGTGGTATTTACAGTGAGCTCAGATCATTAAAGTTAGTGATTGAAACGGGTTTTTTTATGATCACATGGCCACAATAAGCTCTGTTCTGGGAACACATTAAGGAAAACGTTCTACTGGAATAGATTAGCAAGAGTGTGTCAACTCGGACATGTTATGGTCTATACCACATAGACAATATAGGAGCCAGATAGTGATGAAAACACGTTATACAGAAAGGGAAAGGTCAAAGAAACAAAATCTATATATAAATTCAAGATATATGTGAACAACAAGATGGTATTATCATTTATAAGCACGCTTAGACCACCAATAACCTACGCTGTTGACGCTGTTATACCTTAATAATACACAAAGTGAAAGGCACAGCCATAGGTGCTTAGAAGCCCAGGGTTATATTTGTGGTGTATGTGATCAAGTGACGGGGTGCAGAACAATGAATTGTATCGCCTCAGATCAATATGCTACCCATGCTACGGAAAAGGTGAAAGTAGCCGTATATGGTCGCATACATTTTAACACACATTTTATGCAATATGCTGTTTCATCCGCAACGTTCTTGCCAGTTTAGGCAGTACAAAGACACTTAGCTTCACACAAAAACATTTGTCCCAATCAATGAAAATTGTAGAGCGAAGTTTGTGCTTTAATTATGTTTGACGTTCAATACTGAAACTCAATACTCAACATTCATAACGAACCTGACATTAGTGATGTTGATTTCTTTTGAAATAATCATAATCACGAAGACATGACAGCATTTCGTGTCTTTCTCATCTCTTGAGGGGGATTCAATTTCTATATGTTACACGATTCGAAGCCATTTTATTATTCTGTCATTAGGCATTACGAACTTTCTCAACGGAGCTGACGTAAATTCGTAAATTTATACCTGATGTCATGCGCTCAAATGTTACGGTCATTGCATTTTGCATTACCTTGTCCTTAAAGCGTGCGACCTTTTGCAAAGCTCATTATTATTTATGGAGAAAATAGAGGGTCACACGAGAAGGTGATAAGAACAGTTTATATAGGGTTCCAATAGCATGATACATGTAGGGGAATGTACTAAAACGTAACACATACAGAATGCGTGCTAGCATTCTTATTTTAATTAAGTTTTTGGACTTTTCTTCCTGTCGTGTAGACACCAGTACATCTTTCATTTAAGGATATACGATCTTGTTTCCTACGTATGCCGTACGTTAATCCATATACTAATTAACGTTGTTATGCTGTTTGATTGAATACGCCAGGATATGACCTGACTGTCTGGAGGATAGACCTCTTGTCACGCTTGTCCGATGAATGCTGTGAATGTAGAGCGAGTTCTCATAACTGCAGGAACACAATTCATGTGTCTTCGTCTCCTTGACAAATGCCACCTGAGCCATCTGTTGGCAATTATTTATGAACGTTTCTTTCAAACGTGGCTTATCACTCTCTTGTTCGAATCGCTGTAATGAGACCCAGTGGATGATTCCAGTGATTGTTTTGGGGATTGTCATAGGGTGTCCATCATGTTGATGAAGTGGATGTTCCATTTACTGAGGTTGAGTTTTTCAAAGTGTGTTCATGGGATCAAAGGAAATAGTCATCGACGAATAGGATAAAATGCGTCAATGAAATTGATCTTAATACGGAAAGCGTTTATTGCATTTGCTGCACGCTTTGTTAAGTTAATGACTATTTTCCCCTCTATATCTCTCAACTCTTTACATATCCAGACAGAAACGTGGCATATTACACACGTAAACGAAACAATGTGCAATTTGAAGAACATAAACTATCTTAGGGAAATATTAAATTACATTTTCAAAGCCATAATTCCAATTTGCTTATCCCAAGCCAATATTTAAAATACCGGGCGAAATAGAGTTCAGGGAAGATTGACGTCACACAATCAATAACATTTTGGTGTATTGTACCTATATCGGTTCATATTCTCACTAACCATGCCCCCAATGATGTATATGCATTAAACAAAAACACTCTTCTGTTAACCTATCCATTTGTTTTGGAACAGAGTATGTTATCGCGTGAGTTAACTTGACGCGTTTGGCTATCTGAAAAAATGTGATGCGCCATGACCTTTTTTCGTTTGAGACGGGTGACAGCGATGTGACAAAATGCTCTCCGTTTCGAGAACACCTGGTAGCAGTAGGATTTGATGTTAATTCATAAACACTTGCTCATGCTATAATGGAAATCGGAGTTAGTGAGTTGGGTTTAACGCCGCTTTTAACAGTATTCCAGTTATGTCACGGCGTGTCAGTTTAATGTGGGAGGAAAGCCCGAAGTGATGCAGGTCACGGACGTTTACCACTTCGGTGAAACCCACGAGCACGGGTATGGTGCTGACAAACCTAGAAACATAATTGGGGCGAACCGGGATTCGAACCCACAATCATAGGTTTCTGGCGTGCCCAAGGGACGCAACTCTGCACAGCGAATCGCGGCGCCTCAGACGACTTGGCCACCCGTGACCAAAGCATATCGATACGACAGTACACTGTCTCGCGTTGTACACATTCTTCTGTAAGCAATACCAATGTTAGAATATTTGTCACCTGATATGTCTGATAGTCACGATGTGGCTTAACTCACTAACTGATATGTTTGACACCTGTCTTGTACGTAAACGATTCCAGAAACACTCGGACTATTTATGGGAAATCTATCACCTGATACCTGTGGGTAAACTAGAATAAACACTGATTTATAGACATGTATAAAGGGTACAACTAACATATTGCATTAGAGTGAGTGTTGATCATCAACGTGCACTTCCGTGAAGGACGAGGATAAAGACGAGGATTATCACCACAATGAGACAAAATTCATAACCGGATCGGAAGACCCGACATAAAACGGTTTTGTAGTTATCAAGACACTATTTCCAACTATGTTAAGCCAATTGGCAGTCCTTAAAAAAAATAAAAAATACATTGCACGTTTTGGATGAAGTTGTGAATACATAGCTTTCTTAAGAACATAAACATGCATTTGAAAAAGTCACCTTTAGGAAGAAAGATGAGCACGTATTGATATTTCACGATGTGGAGATAGGAACTGAAAGCGTTAACATCAGTATACTAGATCTGACAAAAATGAATTTTGGAAGAAATCTACAGAAACACATTACACAATACAGACGTTTAAATGATAAATATGTTTGCAGTTTAAACGATATAAATCTAGTTTGAACAAAAATAAATAGGTGTGATTTGATTTCTTAAAAATATGATATTTTCCAAATTCATTTGATCTGACAATACCATTCTATAAAAGAGTGTGGTTTACACATTAGTTCAATTATAACTGCGGCGTGTATATTGCAACTTAATATAAAATGTTAACGTAACACGATACATTCTTCAGAATCAAATTACGCAG